AGTCGTTTTTATTGTTTAACACACAAACAGACGTTCAGCTCCAGTTTAAAGTTTTAAGATTCTGTTTCTGATGAGTCCTGACTCTGGTTTTCTTCCATCTAACTGCCTAAAAGGACACAAACAGCTCCATTTAATCAGCTTTTTCTGGATAAAACACCAACATCTGAGCCTCTGATCCAATCCAGAATCCAGAGAACTCTGCTTTTCCTCCAGAATGAGGCTTAATTTTCTGGAAATGAGCTCTATTAAATCAAATATAACATAAATGTATGGGAAATATATGTTAAAGCGCTGGAAACGAGTTGATTTCATAACCTGAGAGGTCAAAATGGGGGTTAAATCCCACAAAATTGATGAAAGAATCAGGTAAATTAAAAAAAGAAATTAAATTCAATCAGGATTTCTCAAATTTAATCAGTTTAAATTCAGTTTTTTAACACTGCCTTTGTAAATATGAGACAATCTGACACAATATTAAGGATATAGATTAGTTTTTCATAATAAGATGATCTAATATCAGAGTGGGACCTACGTTTTCTGTTGTTTGCTGGTTAATAAAGTTATTAAAGAGCTTTGGGACGTTGTTGAAGAAGCCTAGAGAGCTGCTCCTGTTCTCTAAGATGTGAAAAACCACGTATAACTAAATTAAACCGGTTTGAATGGGAGCCTTTGTGCTCATCAGCAGTCGATCGCAGACTTTTTATTGTTCCTGACAGGAGAAGCTGCCCCCCCCCCCATCACAGCTCAACTGGTTTCATTTAGAAAAACCAGCAACTGCTGTGTCGCTTTGTACATTTCACATTTCCTCCTGATGGAAGTAGCGCCTTGCTAGGTGACGATTTTATGAAGCCGGCTGGAGTCCAGTCCGATGAGTGTGACGAGAAGCGCAAGATCCAAGAAAAATCGGCTCCTCTGAGCTGTTTTATTAGCCGTGGCTAGCTTGGGCTAGCTGCCCCCCTTCGTTTACTGTGTGCCTGTGAAGCTAAGCTAAGCTAAGCTAGGTCTGTTTGATGGCTCACTCAGTCGTCCTTTCTTCTCCCATCATCTCCTCTGAGCTGTTTTATTAGCTCAGGCTAGCTTGGGCTAGCTAACCCCTTCATTTACAGTGTGGCTCAGAAGCTAAGCTAAGCTAAACTAATCTAAAATAAGCAAAACTAAGCTAAGCTAGGTCTGTTTGATGGCTCACTCAGTCTTCCTTTCTTCTCCCATCATCTCCTCTGAGCTGTTTTATTAGCCGTGGCTAGCTCAGGCTAGCTGCCCCCCTTCATTTACAGTGTGGCTCAGAAGCTAAGCTAAGCTAAACTAAGCTAAACCTGTTTGATGGCTTAACCAGTCGTCCTTTCTTCTCCCATCATCTCCTCTGAGCTGTTTTATTAGCGGTGGACAAGCCCAGGCTAGCTGCCCCCTTTGTTTACAGTGTGCCTGTAAAGCTAAGCTAAGCTAAGCTAAGCCTCATGTTTACTGTGCTGACGTCAAACTGTTTGATGGCTCACTCAGACATCTTCTCCCATGGTCCCCTGTGAGCTGTTTTTATTAGCGGTGGACAAGCTCAGGCTAGCTGCCCCCTTTGTTTACAGTGTGTCTGTGAAGCTAAGCTAAGCTAAGCTAGGTCTGTTTGATGGCTCACTCAGTCATCCTTTCTTCTCCCATCGTCCCTCTGAGCTGTTTTATTAGCTGTGGCTAGCTCAGGCTAGCTGCCCCCCTTCATTTACAGTGTGCCTGAGAAGTAGAGCTAAGCTAGGTTAATATAAGATAAGATCAATTAAGCTAAGCTAAACTAAGCTAAGTTAAGCTAAGCCTGTTTGATGGCTCACTCAGTTGTCCTTTCTTCTCCCATCATCTCCTCTGAGCTGTTTTATTAGCGGTGGCTAGCCCAGGCTAGCTTCCCCCCTTCGTTTACAGTGTCCCTGATAAGATAAGCTAAAATAAACTAATCTGAGATAAGGTCAACTAAACTAAACTAAGCTAAGCTAAACTAAGCTAAGCTAAGTCTTTTTGATGGCTCACTCAGTCGTCCTCTCTTCTTCCATCGTCAACTCTAAGCTGTTTTATTAGCGGTGGACGCGCTCAGACTAGCTGCCCCCCTTTGTTTACAGTGTGCCTGTGAAGCTAAGCTAAACTAATCTAATTTAAGGTAAGCTAAACTATGCTAAACTAAATTAAGTCTGTTTGATGGATCAGTCAGTCGTTAGCGGTGGATGCACTCAGGCTAGCTGCCCCCCTTTGTTTACAGTGCAACTGTGAAGCTAAGCTATGCTAAGCTAAGCTACACCCGTTTGGCACACTGAGCCCTCCTCTCTTATCTCATCATCCCCTCTGAGCTGTTTCATTAGCGGTGGACAC